GTGTATATAAAGACCGCGGATACACGAAACCAAATACAGCGGCTCGGGGAGAAAAATGGATAGAAATGTAAGACCACGTTTGACGAGGGAAGTGTCTTAGTGTACATTCACAAAAAGTTTTTCTAAGTATATAAAAACTATTCAACTTACCGTGACCCTAAATGCCCCACACTAACCGCTTTCAAGATTCTTTTGTATCTCGGGCACATTTATTACTCGCGTCCCAATCCAAACACTTTGTTTCGATCCGTTTTCAAATTAGCACACATCACAGTAAAAATAAAAAAAAGGTTTTGTCGGTACGTGCCGGCAAATCACGCCAAACTTCCCGTCAAGTTTCTTCGATTTCTGTCACAAACTACTGAGGTGCACCCACAAAACTTCTACTTACCATTGCTGTTCTTAAGGGCGCTTGAGAACTTCTAAAGTATCGATCAGACTTCTGTAGCTCTAGATCTTACAGTGAGGGGCCACGAGGCTGTACTCCAGTATTAATGGTATCGCCTGTAGTTGATTTCAAGATCAGTGTGACGTAAATAAATATATCAGACCGAGGGGCGACGCTCGTCTGGGACTTCGCGGGCTTTTGTGATTGGTTACCACGCCTGTAAAGACCAACCAATAGGCGACTGGTATAGACACTTGAAAACAGCAGTGATCTTTATTTGGGGTGTTTTTTTAGTGGTTTGCGTAGATCGTTTGTAACGAGAAACGTGGGCACACCTTCTGAGTAAAACACATTCTATGTTAACAGTGGTGGATGAGTATATTTATAGCTGGTCGGTTGGATGGTCATGGAAAAACGTCGTACCAGGACACAAAAACAAAACTCGGAAACATTAGTTAATTTGTTTTTGTTTTTGTGTTGTCTTCCACATGTCGCCGTGGCCTTCCTCCCTCCCCCAACTATGATCACCCCTTCATTTGCCAGGTAACGTGTATGTACGTACGTGTACTGATATTTGAGTTCTTATCTCGTCTTTAGGAAGGGGGCAGACGCCATTGCTCTACGACGACTCCAGCCAGCCCCTGAGTTTAAAGCTTCCCACCACGGCTTCTGGTATCTCTTTCAATTCTGCAACACCATTTGAGAATCGAAACAAACGCCTATTAAAATATATACTATCTTATCTGGTCCTCGGTTGAAGAATTTAGATTTCAAAAAAAAATACATAGGAGACTCCAAAATTATTTAACCAGCTTTTAGTTTAAAACTAAAGAACTGGATCTTCTCAAGCTCACCAGTACCTAGAGATATTTCATCTTCTCACTGCTTCAGTAACGAAGATGTCTTCTGGGGTCTTACGCCGTTGCACGACAACCCGGAAGACTGCCATCTTCATCTTCAGTATCTCTTCAGAAAGAGAACAGAAGTTACCTGTTCGTGTCTAAATTAGAATTAATTGATATACAATTAAAATTTTTATTTATCCGTGCATATAACTCCGTTCATTATTCCTAGACCTCGTTTCCATAGCAACGTCGATTGGAATACACGCGGACTTAGGTACATTCATCGACAATGAATGCCCTAATGAGTGGTGTTTGTGGTTCAGCTTGTGGGTATTAATTTGTTGAGAAGATACATTCCGAAACATTAAATAGAAACTTCCGGAAGCTTTCTTGAAAACAATGAACGGAAGTAAAATGCTTATTATATAATTCTGCTATTTTTTTAGTTCTAAAACGTTTACCCAGAGCGCGTGCCGTTAACAACTTATATAGACTTTCCAAGAAGCAGATTTTTATACGTATCGAAAGTTTGAATTGTAAGGGAACTCGTGTGAATCAAAATAAAATTTGCCTTTTCACTCTTACTTCGTACTTCCAATGTAAAGTGCTTTAGGAAGTGACACATGTGGACGGTTGGTCGTATAAACACGACGTCCGTGTAAAGCGTTCTCTTTGAGGGCTCAGTTCAGTGAACTTATAAACAAGTCTGAGATGAACACAGTCCGTATTAACTGCTTTTTCGAGGCAATCGTGTAAATGCTGGAAAAATGAAGTCATCTGCTTAGGAGATTCGCACGAAAATCCTTGGGTTAGCGGGAATCCATTTGAAATCCGAGACCTCACAAATGTCAAACGGGTTTCGACCTAAAGAGGTCATCATCAGTGGCACTAAAAAAGTTAAGCTGGTGTGCTAACCAGTCGTATTTCGTTTGGAACTTAAAGACTAATTTTATTTATTTTATTTAAAATTAATATCTCGGAAAACAAAGTTTCAGTTTAATTAATTCTCCTCGGGCTACCGGCCGTGTGAGGTGGCTTAATGAATAAAACACCAACGTTTCGAGAACCATCTTCGTCCTCGTCCTCAGGGCGCTGAAGTGCAGTGGCTTCAGTTCTCTGTCGGTATTTTCATTGAAAGCGCACACGTGCCTAACTTCCAGGCGCCCCTGGACGGAATGCAACCGTTCGTGCTGACTGGAACTGGGGATTTCTCTCTCTCTGGGATAAGACAGCTCGTGATATCCTCTATTTCATGTCAAGTTTCTTTTACATATTCTCATTTGAGAGCAGTAGAAGTGTCGAAAGACAGACACTGCCGTGCAACAAATTTTACTTCTGACAGAAGTCTGTTGATGAACGAGATATCTCGCTTGTAGCACAGAACGTGTCAAACATTTCACCGCGGTTTGTGGTTTTCTCTGACCAATTTGAGCTTCCATAATAACGGATTAACCATTTTTCTTGAAAATTAACAACACCCTCTCTCACCTGGTCATGAAATTTCCCGATTTTGTAAATCCGAGATTTCGTTACTGTATTCATAAAAAACACAAACAGTTCTTTTATGTGCGTGCATTGAAAGCTGAATTTTTAGTTGTAACATTTTCGTCCAGACTCAGAAACGAGCATTCAGGGATCGATAAATCGATTTCGGCCCAATTATTTGGCTACGTATTAACAGCGAATGCACCGAGCAACTTAGCGCAGCGGTGGTGGCGTCTGTCTCGCCTTTAAAGGCACGCGGATCGAATCTCCGCGAGGGATCCGCTATCCTGCCCACGGTATATTGTTATTTCATTCAGTAGCTCCAGTTGAATGCTGGGATAAATGGTGCCTTGAAAGATAAGGCCATACTCACTTTATCCCTGCTCAGTCATCATTCATTCGTCCATCTTGATTGGCGAAGCATTAACTCCGCAGTTGATACGACGTCGTACAGTCACGGAATAAAAGAATTGGTCGCAATTTGCCGCATCTGTTTGTTGTGGACAGACAATGAGCACGCAGTTTAATGCCTCCAAATGCAGCATCGCTCTAAATGTCTGTGGTAATTGTTTGTGCGCATTGTCTACTGCGCATTGTCTTCTGCGCATTGTCTACTGCGCATTGTCTTCTGCGCAGTTGCTTTATGAAATGAAACAACGCATGAGACATGGCTTTTGTCACATTTTTTCTCAGGAGATCGTCACAGACCGAGCCTTCTGCGCGGTGTACTGTATATTTCTGTCATGCAGACAATGAACACTGTTCTCAGGGCGATAAAATATGACGCTGAAAGCACATCTAGAAAATAAACTCACGAAAACTAAGCGATAAGACAATAAACTGCCTAGCGAAATTTCAACGCCTTCTGCTGGCCGATTTGTTGATGCATGTGTAAAATATTCTAAGACATGAAACGCGATATATATGTTCACATTAGCACTGGATGAGCTTCGTAATTGTTATTTTTCAAAAAAATAATATCTTTGAACTAGTTAGCCATGCAGTCCGAATGGAGAAGCAGTTGACTGTGAATGGTTCTGGCTGGTAAATCCCGTGGATGGTGGCCATTTGGAAGACCAAGAAGGAAAGGACAGGATAGTAGATTGTCAGCTGTTCGGCCCACAGTTTATAAAAGAATTTTGTAATGACTATTCGAAAGACGAGATTTTATGGGATACCACCAAGATCTGGAACTCGAACATGTTTCGTAAGACTGAGAAATGGAGAGAATTTCCAGTCGATTGCAAAATTTCAAATTTTATTTGGATGTTACAGCGGGATCTCGCTTTAATAGCTATTTTATGAAGTTTTTCCGACTCTTTGAATGGTCGATTCAGAGATAATAATATTTTACAAGGTTTATGAAATATGAAAGAACTTCCGCTCAAGGTTTTGTGACCATACCACAATGAACAGGCATTTAAGAGTTAAATTGGTGCTTGGTGGATTTAGAAGAAAAGATTTGAATAAGTTGACAGAGACGTCGTAGGGTTTAAACTGAGGCGGAGAGGAATACGTGACATTATGGTGGAGCGTATTAAGAGAACGTAGAATGGTACCAAATTTTGTATGAAGTGGCGGATTTTATTGGTTGAAGAACCTACGTGTTGAAGAACTTATCCGACTACTCCATTTTAACTTTCTTTAAGCAGACCCGATAAGACGCAGACAAGGTACAATAAAATCTGCAGCCAGCTTTCCAAATGTTGGCTCTGTCGTTTTGAATGGCGTTCATTAACCCGAAAGGGAAATCCAAGGATAATTCCGGCCCCTTGGACACGTTCCATATACAAAAAATAGTCGCAGTACAAGACGAGTGCTTTAATTAATCGAAGGACTGTGGGCTTGGCGGACACAAAGGAACACGCACTTATCGCTGTCTGCACATGTCTCGACGTTTCGACAGATATTCTTAATCAGATGATGCATTTTAATAGCGACGTACGCGCGAATGTCTTCAAATGTCAGTTAATTTATGTATCCGTCTGATGGTACTAAGTTGACAAACGCAGTGCGCAGTGTGTGTTCGTACATTCTTTGTATCCTTCCGCGCTACGTTCGGTTAAGAAATAGGCCGGCTTGAGCAAGCTGATACACACCACCAACGACATTTCGTAAAACTTTTCGAAGCCGAAACTATTCAAGAAATCAGCCCATGATTACAAATGGGATTTATTTACCAGCTGTCAGCTTTCAAAGATAAATTCTGCCCCATGTAGTTACGTTGAGCTGTGATACGTCATAATTTATTAAAGTGCCTGAAAATATTTATAAATATAATAAGTGATTCCAAGACTGGGAAAAAAAGTAACTTTCATACAAAATTATGTATATTATGTTGCTGTCATTACATAAATTCTGGATTGAAAGGTGGACCTAACCTAACCTAACCTAACCTCGCTGAGCTGAACTGGAACAGACTTAAGACAATGTTACTGCAGTGTTCGTTCAGTTTAAACTCCGCGGGTGTGGAGGAATCATTTGTGGTCCTAATCGCAAAGGAACACGTAAATAAATGAGACGTATCTTACTTAAAGTAATGCCCTGGAACTCGTCTGAAGTAACTTTGCTGAAATTAACCAGCCGCTGGAAACTTGTAGGAATATAAGACGCTTTTCGCTTGTTGTATGGCAGACGTATTGTTCCGAAACCAGGTTTTTTCTAGTGTTTTTCATGCCTTGTCGTCAGACGATAATCTGACGTTTTCAGCAAAAATGCTTAACCGCCCAGCGGCCCATAAAACCATTTTGCTGATGTCTCGTCTTCTTTGTAGATTGCGTAGCGCAATTCCGTCCGAATTGATAGCTCGAACGTGAGTTTGCTCGCTCGC